AACATCCATCAAATCACCAATCAGCCTTAAAGAATACCTGTCAACATTATTTCATAATTATGAAGATTAAACCAACAAAAAACAAGTCACATCAACTTACATCAACTTTTTATTTAAATGCAAAAAATAAAACTTTTGAACATTACAAGTTTGTCAAATATATCTCTTTTTTTTCAACCCAACGGCCAGATTTGCATGTCTTTGGCCAGGGTTTTTAAATAAAGTTATTCGTCACTTGTGACACATTATGTAACCATTGAAATGCGAAAGCCATTGAATGTACAAACAAGTGGGTGCCAACTGAGATGAAGAACCTACTCAGAATTCGTTTTCCGTCCTCTTTAAGATATTTGAAAAGTTAAAATCTGGTAAGTAGAAATTTTCAAACATAAAAATTGTTTGCCTACTACCACCAGGCACACTCTAACCATTCACTGCTCGCTTCAGTGAAACAAGGAGGCTCCAAAGCTGACCAATGTCGTGAGTTTCAAATTTTAAAATCTGGAAGCTTCGAGATAAACATCTCAGTTGGATTCACTTTCACAAGGCAATGAAAAATCGTGAAAGATTAACAAGTAAACTCAGGACAGGAAATAAAATACAGTATTACTAAACTGAGTATTGTATTGTATCCAGAGGTAAGAGAAATCAAAACTGGCGGGTACTGTGTAGCTCATTTCTGAGGCAAAAACAAAACTGACATCAATGCTCATGAACTAAAAGCACGGACTAGATTTCACACTAGCCATACAACAATATACGGGGAAAGAAAAGAGCACATCTTGTGACGATTATAACAGTACTACACACTGTGAAAGGGGCTGTTGTCAAAGGAAAATGGAAGCTCTTGAGATTAAAAAGAAAATCATGGGGGCTTTACTCAAAAATTGTGCTGACAAAACAATTCCCCACGAAAAGCAGTAGGAGGCCGCCTGAATTATATGGGAGAAAAACAGCTTACGTTTTAACATCACTACTACAACAAGCAGCAGTGGTAAGGCAGGGGTTGACCAATGATCATTGTTTTCGCCTTTGTCTATCCCCAAAACGCTGGCACATGTGTCTGTTGGGATGCTCGGCCGCCATATGATACAACGCCACGTAGAACCCTGCTAGAGTGAAGCCCATCGTCTTCTTTCCAACTTCTTTGTAAGCGTTGGCAATTGTACCAATTTGTAATTTCTGGGCCTGACGCAAATTGTAACATTGTACAACAGTTACTCCATTACATTTTTCACTTCAGCCGGCATCTTAGGAGTACAGTATCCTATCGAGGCAAGTGCCAGGTGTAGGAACAATATTATACACCCAACATATGAGAGGCCAAACGTGGTGGAATACGTTCTATAGTCAACACAATGCATTCATCAGTAAACTCTCAATATCGACCTGACGGCAAAAGCCGTGGACAGACACAGGCTTAAAAAATGTATAACAGTTTTAAATTATTATGCCTGTACACCCCACTCCGACGACGTCATTTTAGTAAATCAAGGTCTGGCAGAAAGCCGAGCATTATTTTGTCTTGTTTTACAGTGAGTGAGCTGTACGTAATCAGTTCCCTGGGCAAAGCGAGGGATATTTAATTAATTATGCAAAAATAATAACAGAAAAACAAATACAATCACCAACTTCTGATGGGTTCCAAAACTGAATGAAATCAAAACCGCGACCAATCAATTTCTGTTTTGGTAACGTTGACATACTAAACACAACACATGTAGCATTAAGGAATGGCGTTACGAATTTCTAATTCAAGTATGAAACTCACTGAAAGACATTCAAGCAATATATCAAAAAAGACAAGCAGTTCAACAAAACACAACTTTGATCTTCTGGTTGGACCATCATCAAGCATCACAACATCTTCAGGCACCGCTGTACATCACATCCCAGTCAGGGGGGGTTTGCTTCAGAACAGGCTCATAAATACACGGCTCTCGAAAGGGGCTCGAAAAATGAGGGCCGCTTTCAGGCGGGGACATAACATAAGTCTCCAGCCAGACAAGGTACAATCTCTTGACAGACAAAGGAAGAAGGATCCTTGTCATGGTCAGCTCAGCGTATAGAGCCTTTGGTGTCAAAACCCCTACAACAGAATAGCTCATCATCAGTTCTCTTTTCGCAAAGCTAATCTATCACAAGCATGTTCCACTTCTCAAGTCGTTCACCTCAATTCCGGCTCCAAATCAGAAACTCGCATTGTTGTTTTTTTTTCTTTCTTCCTTAATTATTATTTAAATACGACTGGTGAATAGTTTGGAAGACAACAAAACAAATTAATAAGGTACTCATTAAATAAAGGCTACTTGCTTGTAACATGAAATGTGATAAACTGCCATGCGACTTTGATATTAGTTGTTACATTATTGAAACTGACAAAGTGATAGGGAAGCTATACGATCAAACTAAACATAGAAGGGGATGTGGTTGGTGATAAACTGAACTGAAATTTTCCCTCTTCAACCATTTCCAAGACTTTACCTACATTGCAGTTTAATACAAAAAAATGATTACGTGACAGCATTATATGATAACGCCAATATTTTGCATATATATATAATATATGTATATTTATATAGTATATTTAAACAACAATGAAAAAGGCAGCTAATTGTGGTGTTTTCTCTATTGGACTGTACTTTGAGTGTAGAGAAGAAAGTGCACAATGCTACTGTGTTTTAGGTTTTTATGTCCACAGTTCCAACACCACATATCTAACCATAGAACATACATTAAATATTCATGGTCTTCAAAACTGGTAGCAGCATATAAACATTTACATACGCATCATACCATTACAAGAAGATCTCAACACATAAATAAATCATCATCATCATCATTGTTGAATGTTGTTACTTAAATTGCTTTCAATATTCATTTGTTACAAAAAATAATCTTTGATGACAAATAAAGTACTCTGTTAAGTAATCATTACAATAATATAATACTTTTTGAATAAACATCTTTCATATTTGATATTCAGTTTCTTATATTCGAGTTGGATATTTGAATAAAGTAAATACAACAACTCATGTATCGAGTCGGAGCTTCGACTCACGTGAATACCTTGAATAAATACAAAGATAATGAAAACTATTTACAGGTGTCCTCAAAACAAAGCTAAGTAACAAATGTAAAAATAAAAAAAAGAATGAGAGAGTTTGGGGAAATTATTGACACATACAACACACATTATAGGTATATTATATATATAATATATATATCTATAGATATACATTAGTTTTGATCTTCTGCTGAGTTGGAAATAAAGGTAAGGAAAAAAAAACAATAAAAAAAAGCAAGGAGAACAGAAAATCAATGAGCTTAATTACATCTCGGGTGTTCACATAACACTTTTTTATTCTTGATGACATGCATTTGACCATAAACAATCAGGAAGCTATTATGTGACAAGAATCCATACAAAAGGCCTTTCTAATAATAGAATACAACACATATAGCCAGATCTCAACAACAAATAAAATAGGGTAAATTATTATAGAATTAGAGTATTACGCATCAAATACCAGACAGCGCTATCCAGCAGAAAATATACTATTCTTTAAATGTACCTCAGGGCAGTTTCAAGGACTTGACAAGCCAAAACTATAGCATATGAAGGATAACTTTAAGAACGTTGTTAATAGAAAATTCATTCCATCACTTAGTCACGATGTGTCGCTTGTATTACTACTAAGCCATGGTTACCACTTCGTGAGGTGATTTATTTTTCATTATAGTTCACTTCCTAGTACTACAATCGGAAAAGCCACGCCAGCGACTTTACAAATGGGGTATTGACCAAAGGTTTTGTATTGTGTTGAAAAGAGAGGGAAACCTATTTATGCCAATTCATTTCAAGATATGTGCACAAAATATGAGACCTGAATCTGGTCTACACTCTTGAACATGGACCAAAAAACAGTAAGACATTTTAAGTGCAATACAAAGCAATGACACTGGCATTCATATATATATATAGCAATAATATACATTGAGGATACAAAATCCTAGTAATTACTTTTCTGTGAGAATATTATTGATTTTAAGCTTGGCAAAATAATTTCTTGGAGTTGAAAAAAAATTGTTTGACACATTTTGTCAACAAGCAACACACTTTCGATTTTCAGTGAAAGTCTTTTTTGGGTGGGTGGGGAGGAGGATCTTTTAATAACATTCTCTGAATACACATACTTCCTTAAGACATAGATATTTACATCCACACATTCATAAAGATATTGATATATGTATATGTATAAATAGACTAAATATATGCAGTAATTTTGGTGCAAAACAAGGAAACTAAGATCAGAGATATCTAAATGTAGAGCTCAGTTGCCAATGTTTGATCCCTTGTATTAATTACCTATGCCAAACTTAATACCGGTATTTAACCCACACTCTGTATTTCCTCCTGAACTGGAGAAGCAAAGGTAGAAGGAAAATAGCAAGAACAGCTAAACGTCAATGAGCAAAAATGAAGTTATCGTTATACATAATTTCTTTCTTTTAAAACATAGAAATTATTTACTAAAAAATATACTTTACGAATATAAAATTTGCATAACAGATTTGATTTCATGAGTTTGGTTGTGGTATTTCTCAGCTTTGTGGCTGAGTGAGATACTGGAATGAAACAGTAATACAAAGAACAAGTTCACATGAAGACAAACTAAAATTTTCTTCCCAAGTCTTCCAAATTTAGCTCGGCAATCTTTTATTATAAAGAGTTCAAACAAGGGAATTTAACTAAATACTTTCTCTGGAACAGTGGATCAACTCATTTGCAAAACAAGATTTACCGAGGTTTCCACATCATGAATTTACATTTTGTAATCTATAAGTCTAAATATTTTCATCTCATAAGTTATTTGGACAAGTTCTTACCTTTCAATACTCTTTAACAGTTATAAATACCGTATATTCTACAAATACTTTTACAGGCAAGACCTCACAACATAGGACTCAAATCCCACGAAGTAAAGAAGAGTCATCATCTGATCCTCAAGTTCCACGAATCATTACAGCTACAAAAATCTGAAGCTTTAAATACATTGCAGTACCAATACCCACATTTACAAACTTTGATCCTCATCGTCATGTCAGAAGTAATGTACAGACCTGGCTCTGTTTACCACAATGGACGTACTATTAGTGTCATAACATATTCCTTCAACAACTCATAATAACCAAATACTCGACAGCCAGCAGTCTGTAAGGCTACCACCAATAATTGTGCTGTGTTCCCAACGCATGAAAATGAGCACTTGTTACAAAAAACGCTACCTCTCCATTCTTCAAAATTGTGGTTTATAAGTACATAAATAAATTTCACTTAAGTAACAAATGCTTCAAAACATATTTCAAAATAAACAAATTTAAACAACTTGTATTTGAACGTCTAATACCCCAAAACATTTCATTTTTAAACTTCCTCCAGCAATCCAAAGTTGTCTGTAGCAGTTGATGCCATTCAATTATGATTTGTGATCCAGCAGAAGATGGCATTTGTCTGTTTCCTTACAAATGCCTGCATTGATTCCATTCCCTGATTTACAACGACACCAAACTGGATGAGTGTATGAGAGAACAAAATGTTTCATATAAAGATTGAATTGAAAATCATTGCCTTTCTTACGGATGCCACATGAATCTGGTTAGCTCAATACCTAGCCGTGGCTTTGCTACTGTTTCTTCTCATTACTCTTTACTGTACACACAGCTGATCAAAGAGCTGTCGTCTTCAAGTCCACGTTCCCTTTCCATTTGAACATTTTATTCTTCTACAGTCCTTCCGATTTCCTCGTGTTGTATGTATTTATAATGCGAATCATAATAGGACACATATACGGCATGGTCCACAGTTTGGATTTTAAATACCCTGATCATTTAAACTAGGTGAAAAAGGGAGATAAATTTCACAAGTAGGTTCATCCTGCAATTCTTCAATGTGTCTGACAATTTGAATTCTGGGCATCTGACTTCGCTAACTGCAACTAAGATTCAAAAGGGAATGTGATAAGAATGTCATGCGAGTAGGAATGACCAATTAATGTATGCTGTAGAGGACTTTGGGATGCCAAAGACAGTACCATCCTGCCACGACAATCAACTTACTACTCGTATTTAGCTCAGTTCTTAAAAGCAAAATGTGAAACAACAGAGGGACTAGAAGAGGATATGGCAAATGTGAAGCCCACATTAATGAAATCTGTCATGTAGTTATATTCAAGGGCTTTGAAATGAAATGAAAGTTAATATTGAAATATTAGTTTCCCTACCACAGTAAATGACATCGCATCATATTAGTGAAAACCAGTTATACATAGAAAAGTGGTTTAAAATATCAAATGACTATATTCATCACTTTGGATTTCTAAGATACTGGATAAAGAATGCATGTCCCTAAAAGTATGTCACAATTTTTAAAAGACAAAGCTCTTTGTTCTCTTTTTTGTGGGATAAACTTAATCACTTTTATATATATATATATAAGCTTGTCCATAAGACAATGATACAATAAAGGGAAGTATTCACTGTGATTTAAGTTAAAAAATATTGAAACAAATTTACTCTCCATTTCTTATACTCGCAACAATAGGTGTAGGTTTTTCTTCTTGTTGGTTTTGGGACATCACATCCCAAAACAATTTTAGCAGAAACACAATGACACGTTTATGCTCTGATACGCAAGACATCAGCTGCTGGATCTTTGCACACTGGGCACGTGCGGTCGTCCTCGGAAGCCTTGTTCACGATCCCCTCAGCACATTCCATGCAGAACAGGTTGTGGCCGCAGGGCACTAGAGCCGCTACCACCTCTGCCTCTTCACATACCTTGCACACTCTGGGCACGGGAGACCCTTGAGAACCCGACGTGTCGCTCATCTTGCTGGTCGGGCTGGACTCGCCGCTGGGGAACCGATTCATCTCCACGCCCATTGGTCCAGGGAAGACACTGACTTCGCCGGGAGCTGTAGAGGTCATGCCTCTCCTGAACGAGACTCCTCCTCCGAGTGCAGGCAAGTTAGTGGCGTTAGGCTCGTCGCTTCCTGGGCTCTGAAAGCCGTTGAGAGCTGAGTTGGACAGCACATTGTTGCTGCTACTCATCAAACCAATACCCAGTGCAGACGTGACGTTGTTGTTGGGTTGGAAGAGATTACCCAAGACCAGACTGCCTTTGGTGGAGGTGCTCGGGGCTGTGGTGAGGAGAGGGAAGCTGGAGAAGGGGCTGTCAGCCGCGGACGGCTCGCTCATCCGCTTCAAGAAGGGATTGTTCATGGGTGCCGCGCCGCCATAGGGGCTGGGCAGCTGGTGATTGGTGAAGGTTCCATCGTTGAGGAAGTCGTTCGGCGGAGACACGCTCACCGTGCTGTTTGAGGGGGATGATATGCTCCCAGTGGATATGCTGTACTGGAAATTGTTGTTGCTCCGGACAGCGCTTGACAGCGGGTTGTTCGATCCGTTGGACACGACCGAGCTGGAGCCCAGGGCGCTCGGGTAGTCTGAGGTGGCGTTGCTCCAGGTGGCCATGTGTCCGGCTGCCTGTTGGGGGTGCTGGTCGAGCAGGCTGTTGAAGCCTCTCCAGCTGTTGTAGCTGCTGCTGGAGGTGGGGCTGGAGGCAGAGAACGTGTTGCTGAAGCCAGGGCCTTGTTGGGAGGGCATTGGGGTGCCGGAGAGCATGCCGCTGTTGCCGTTGAAGTTGTTCGAGACAGAAGGTAGACCGCTGTTGGACCCGGGGCCCATCTGAGAGGAGACGTCACCATGGTAGTAGGGATAGTCATTGCCGTTGGTAAACCTCTGCTCGTCGTTCCAGTTGGAGGGTAAGTTGGTCGTGTCCTGAAGCCGGCAGTGCCGTGTTCGCGTTTCGATGTGCCTCAGGATCATCATCTTGGCCCGCTCCACATTCTCGGGCTGTCCGCGAATCTCGAAAATGGGGGCCTTGTCGCGGTTGGGTGTTACGATAAAGGTGTCCGTGTCCTGCTGGATAGCCTTGATCGTCTGACCCTTGAGACCCACAACGAGACCGACCACTCTGTAAGGCACAGTAACGTACTGCACTATGTCGCCCTCACGGCTCACGGGCTTGGCAGACTCGAGGCCGCCTCCAGCTTTGTGGTGGTTCCGCGAGGCGCGGATGTGAGTGAAATGCTCGGCGGCGCTGTTGATCTCCTCCATCACGTGCAGCACGGCCTCCTCCTTGCCGGTCACCACGAACACCGGAGACTGTGTCCGCATCGGAGTCTTGATGTACGTATTGGTCCGTGCACGCAAGTCTTTGATCTTGCAACCTGGAAGGAAAAGAGAGGGTAGCTATAGATAAATCTGTATTTCTAGAGCACATCGCAAAAAAAGACTTTTTGGGGAAGGCATGGGCTGGGAGACGATACAAGTTTACTGTTTGAGTAAAGAAAAGAACGTCGACACAATTACGGCCAAATAATGCAGACAGAAACGATTTGGTTTGTTGAAGTAGGTGTTTTACAACACTATCGACTCAGTTTTGGTCAAGACAAAAAGCAAAAGAGGGGGGAAAAGCAGGACAAACCAGTGGCGCCCACCAACCACCTGCCTGCGAGTTTTCTTGTTTCTTTGCCTGGGCATGCCAAGGGAAATTTAGTTCTGGGGAAAATAAACAACAGACAGAAGTGCACAATCGATAAGAAAGTAGTAGTGAACTGTAATACCTCCATCACAACGATGTGCTAAATTAAACTTACACCCGAACGGACGATAAGCAATAGTAGACTACACAAATGTAAGGAAAACGATGGTAGTTAAAACAATAACAAAAAGAAAAAGGCAACCCTTAACCATCATAATAACCTTCCCCCAATAAAAGCACGGAAAAGTCGAGAATCAAAAACCCATCGAAAAAAAACCCTGTATATTTTGAAAAAAATAGCTCTGAAAATCCACACTATCAGATAACTTCCATCAGCACCGCCCATCATTTCTGATAACGCAAGATCAAATTTTAAAGCACTTCTCGGCATGGGGTGAGCAGACAACAGCACAGGGTGTGACCGTGAAGGCTAAAGTACACGGAGCCTTCACAAAGGCGGGCGGGTGCCCGTGCATTTACTGTAGGCGCATCAGAGCCGGCAGCACTGAAGGCAATGTGCTAATGGATTCTCACTAAACAACCCTCTAGTGCAAAAACAAAAAGATTATGTATGCATCAACAAATTGCATTATCAATACCAATTCACTCCATACATGACACCAGCGTAATGGGAAATACTACACTCTGCTAACAGAATTCGCACGGCCTTAAAGAAAATAGCGTGTGTGCGCGTGCGCGCGCGCGCGCGTGTGTGTGTGTGTGTGTGTGTGTGTGTGTGTGTGTGTGTGTGTGTGTGTGTGTGTGTGTGTGTGTGAGTGTGAGTGTGAGTGTGAGTGTGAGTGTGTGTGTGTGTGTGCGTGATTTGTTTTGGGGTTGTTTTTTTCGGGAAAGGGGGGGGGGGGGGTCGCTCGCGAGTGCTCAAGTTTACATACACCACCAATGAACTTCGCAATCATTGGTGTTCGGTCATAATCTACGTGAGGAAGAATCCGTCTCTGCAAACGCAGTCACGACTGATTTCGGCGAAGGAGTGTGATTAATCAATTAAGTTCATCGAGCTCCCGTGAATCCGAGGACAAGATTCCCGCGTGTCGGCTGTGGTGTAGACAGCGGTGACTGAAAGCTCACCTAATGAAAAAAGACATCTAGGCCACGGCCGTCCCTGCAAGGGGAGTCCGGAGTCAACAGGCCGAAGGGGCCCGATAATCAATTACGATAGCTGACCAAAAATAATATTGCGACCAGGAAACCGTGCTCCAGGGGGTGGCGATATAGGTCGCTTTGTGGGCAGTCGGTGGTCAAAGCTCGAACTATTTTGAGCCATTGCAATGATAAGGAGTTGGTTGTATCACATCTATACATATTCGTACACATTATTATTATGATGGGTATTTTTGCAAAAGAAAGACCCTAAAATACAGCTGCAAATGGTAACCAAAAGCCTCTCTTGACGAAAGTACAATTTCTCTCTCTCTTTTTCTCTCTCTCTCTCTCTCTCTCTCTCTCTCTCTCTCTCTTTCTCTCTCTCTCTCTTTCTCTCTCTCTCTCTCTCTCTCTCTCTCTCTCTCTCTCTCTCTCTCTCTCTTTCTCTCTCTCTCTCTTTCTCTCTCTCTCTCTCTCTCTCTCTCTCTCTCTCTCTCTCTCTCTCTCTCTCTCTCTCTCATTTCCTAATTCAAATCTTAAAAGACAAAAGCGACTCGATTTATCGCCCGTATTGAAGAACAAGGACGGGGGCAAAACAGTGATAAGACAGACAAAATAAAACAGACGTGACAGAAATAGTACACTTCCAGTAAGTGGCTGTGAGAGAGAGAGAGAGAGAGAGAGAGAGAGAGAGAGAGAGAGAGAGAGAGAGAGAGAGAGAGGGAGAGAGAGAGAGAAAGAGAAAGAGAGAGAGGGAGAGAGAGAGAGGGGGGGGCAGAAAGGGGCGGGGGGGGGGGGGGGAGAGGAGAAAACTAGACAGACTGGTAGACAGTAAAAAAAAATTTTTTTTTAAAGCTGAGAGGAAAGTGGATCAGCATCGAAGAATGATAAAAATGAAACGAGGGCAATGATGTTACTTGGGAAAGGTGCCCTGTCCTGTAATTCCCCTTGGTGTCTGTCCACAAAGGGGACGGACGAGCCGGACAATGTGGGTCACCGTAGAGAGATGTGTGACTTTTCTATCTCCAGCATCAATATTTGTTTTCCATTCACTGTCCAGAAGGAGAGGAGAAAAGTGTCTGTAGCGTTCCAGAAAGGAGCGTAGCTACTAGCTGTTCTACAGAGGGCGCCAGAAACAAACGTTCGGTTTTTCCCTTGCTTAGATTTATGTTATGTTTTGGGAAATAAAGAATTATTTGCAACAGTCTGCAACATATTTCCTGAGTTCCGAAGGAGGCTGCACACAACTGCAAGCCTGCTCATGTCTGTGCTGGAGTGAAATTCTACACAGCTGGTGCAAGGCTTTGTTATTGACAGGGATTTGGAGCTAAGTTGTATCTCTGTATTGTCTGATGACATTCACAACTCATGCGCGCCACATTATATTGCTGTTAACTATGTAGTGAACGGAAAGTCGGTGCACGATCGGCTACATATCGCAAGGGAGGTTAGTTTGGTTTACTCGGAGAATAGAGAAGTAGATCAACCCAATGACCGCCACTTGATGTGCTTCCATAGCAAGACTGATGAACAGAAACAAAAGGAAAGAAGAAGTATGACCGGCCAATGGCGCTCTAAAAAACTAGCTACTTTTAGTTTAACGGCAGTTTCAACACAACTAGGTCATATGATTCCAGAAGAATACGCGTGTTACTGGAGAGTAACATACAAATAAAAATGTAGGAGAGATTGTGACAACTGACGTTTATAGGAGCGAGCAGTAGCAAACCACAGCAGAACGTCCGCCAGTTACCCACCCCGCTATTATTGTCAGAGAGATAGATAAAAGAGAGGCAGCATCGTTGACAGGAAGAATGAAGTTTGTTTTGTTTGAGTGAAGAGAAGCACATCTACACAATAATGGTCATTTAGTGCTGAAAAAAGTAATACAGACAGACAAACAAAAACAAGGGAGGGAATGTAAAGAAGTAGGACCTACCCGTAGCGCCCTCCAACCACCCGTGAAAGGGCAGACTATACAACAAAAGAGACCAACATCGCACATTGCTCGCACATGTTGCAGCATTTCGAACTGAATAGCAGACAGACAAACACAGACTGATGGCGAACTGTCGTGAGGACTGAAGCGTAATGACGGGCGGACTAAAAGACAGACAGACAGGCAGACGAAACGGATGGACAGATAGATGGCTGGCTGGTGGGACAAGACGCATGAATGAAAGTACAATAAATGTGGAAGGGTGGATGGGAGGTCAGATAGCTGGCGTGTTTGTTTACAAAACAACAGTGTGAACAAACTTCTGGTTGTAAATAAACAGAAAGAACTTGACCAAAAACTGTGCACACAGTACGTTCGATAGACACAGCAGTCAGATACGTGAGGACATTTGTACAAGTGTATCAGGAAAAAGGCGATGGAGCTCAGATGTCAATATAATTAATGATATTACACTAGTGATACTTAACACCGTCAGGGCGGTGAGTTTCATAATCCGATTGGCGATGTGGCGGTCAACCCGTGAGCTGACCATAACAGATCGGTCATCAGCCTCCGCCTGATAGATTATCCCTTCTGACCTTTCATTTCGAGTCTCTCTCAGTGTATATCACCTGTCGTTCCATGTGAAGGCAAAAGGGCGCGAGTTTTGTACACAGTGCACTAAAAAAATCCTATTGAGAAACATTACGCATTACTGGCAGAATTCAAATCGTAAGCAAATACATATCTGAAAAGAAAGATTGATCTTCGGCTTAACTGAACCTTCTCAAGACAATGCTGATTCATGAAAGAATTAAATTCCAGACATGTTTCGCAATCAGATTCAGT